TGGATGTGAAAGTAGGCGTCTTTCAGGTCCAGAGAAAAGAACCAGTTCCCTGGGCGAATTTGTGAGAGGAGCTGTTTCAGTGTAATCATTCTGAATGGCCATCTCATGAGGGCACGATTCAGACGTCGGGGATTGAGGATGGGCCAAAGGCCGCCTGTCCTTCTTGGGGACGAGGAAGTAATGGCTGTAGAAGCCTGACTCGCTCTGAGCCGGAGGAACCACCTCTATGGCTCCTTTTTCCAGCAGATTCTTCACTTTGGAGCGCAGGACGTGTGCGTCTCTGCTCTGAACCGAAGTGGGGACCACTCCGCTGAAGTGTGGGGGTCTTCGAGTGAATTGAAGTGTATAGCCTCGCTTTATTATCCCCAGAACCCACTCTGACACTCCGGGGATGGCTTGCCATGCCTCGGCCCGGGAAGACAGGGGTTGGATTGGTTCGAGTGGAAGAGTAAAACTGCTCTCTTTTTGAAAATGTTTGTGTTATATTCTGCCCGCTATAACAGCGGATCACCTCTTGGGTGCTTGAACGTTTTGGGGGGGTGGTCTAGCTAAAGCGAGACTTGAGTCCTTCCTCTTTCTGTCCCTTAGATCAGGACGACACTGGAGGCGCCGGATCTTAGGCGATCTTAGGCTATCTTAGGCTATCTTAGGCCGGGATCCCTGGCGCTTCGGAAATGGGTAGCATCTGGCCAAGTGGGAACGTCATTGAGGCTCAGGTTTGGCTGGCTGGGCGGCGGTGGCAGCCGCAGGTGCAGGCTTTGTTGGCTGTTGAGTCGGCGCAGACTTGTGTCGTATGGACTGGGACGACTTTTTTACCTGAGTGAAGTCTTCGACCACTGGCCCGAAAAGGCCGTTGGGAGAGACTGGAGCGTCAAGGAACGTGACCTTGTCGGCATCTTTGATTTCCGTTAAAGTCAGCCATAAGTGGCACTCGAGTACCACCAGGCTGGCCATGGAGCATCCTATAGACTGAGCCGTGGCCTTGGTGGCATGCAAAGCCAGGTATGTCGTGCTTCTCAGCTCCCTGAGTGTCGCGAGTTCCGGGCCAGACTCGTCCGTGCTGGTGAGGAGCTTGGCCTGGAAGACCTGGAGAACCGCCATTGAGTGGAGTGCTGAGGCCCCTTGCCCAGCCAAGGAGTAGGCGTGTCCAGCAAGGTCTGAAGTCGTCCTACACGGCTTGGATGGATGGGCGGCCTTCGCCTTCCAGCCGATCGCAGTGGGCGGGCAGAGGTGTGCGGCCACTGCCTCGTCAAGCGGAGGCAGCTTCTCATACCCCTTATTTTCAGCGCCGTCGACTGAGGTGAGGGCGGATGAAGCGGAAGTACAGAGGCATGCAGAGTATGGGGCGTGCTACGATCTGGTGAGCTCGTCGTGGATCTCCGGAAAAAAAAGAAAGGATCACTGACGAGGGGCTTGATGGCGCCCTGGCAGGAACCACTCATCCAGATGGCTGCGGGAGGGTTCTTCTGGTGGAGACCACTCCAAACCCAGCCCCTCGACGGCTATCAAGAGGACACGGAATAGCTCTGCATCCATCCCGGGCTTGACATCGCTGAGCTTGGACGGCGGCAGGGGGGCGGGGGCGGGGTCGGCAGTTGAGCCCGACAGCTCCTCTGCGTCCGAGGCTACCAATGACATGCTGTCATCCAGCAGCTCGTCATCGCTCCTACCGAACCCAGATCGCTCGCGCTGGCAAAGGGACGCTGGTCAGGCTAGGCGAAGAGGATGGGGGAAGCCTCTCTGTGTGGATAGAGCGAGGTACGTGGGACCTGAGCCGATGTAAGGTCGCTTGCATCTGAACGCTGTGATTCTCTGCCCTGCTGCTTTTTCCTCACAGGCTCCTGGGAGGAAGAAAACGGGAGGGCGCGAGGGCTGGAGTCGCTTTCTGAAAATAAAGCTATCCACGAGTGCAGAGAGGCGAGACTCATGCTCTCACAATGGCAACAATCCGTCTCAGTGAGTGCAGATTCTGCGTGGGATTTCCCCAGGCAGGAAACACACTCATGATGGCCGTCATATACGGCCATATACGCAACAACGGCGTGGCATTTGCAACAACGCGCGAAAATTTGCTCTTTAGAAATTTCCTCTGATAGGGCTCGCCGGATGGCGGCAGGGGAAGCTGGATCACTGCTGCGCATTGCTGAAGGCGGTGGGAAAGGCAGGGAAATAAGCCGAGCAGATGACCACTGCAAGGCGTGTCAATGGCAAGCAGGCTCTTCAGTCAGTGGAGATCGCGAAGAATGTGGTCGTCGCTGAAAGAGAAGAAATCTGAATCCTATGCACAAACCTATGGCCACGAAGCCCGACAAAGCCCGCCAGAATGGGCGGAGCCATCTGGCTATATAAGCGGTTATATAGCCAGATGGCTCTGCCCATTCTGGCGGGCTTTGGTGGGCTTCGTGGCCATAGGTTCGTGCAGCACTGCTGCCGAGCCGTTGGTTCGTCTTTAAAATGCACTGCACAAACCGATGGCCGTGCAGTTACACTGCGTGATTGAAAAAGGCTTCAGTTCAGGGGATCAAAAGGACTTTTCCCATAGCGTCTTCAGAAAGACGCAGTACGAGTGAAGTATTGATAGGGAACTAGTCTGACAGTCAGCAGTGCTATTACTTGACTATTAGTGGTGGGCGAGGGGTTTGTTGACAAAGCTGAAGAATACATTTTTTACCAGTGTAGAGAGCTGTGTGTGTTAGTACGAATCTGGTGCAAATGTGCTGGCAGTTTCATGTGGCCTAATTGTGGGTAGGGTGGAGTCTCTCAGAGGACTGAGATGGATGGGAGTGTTATTTAAATGGATGCTCTCATTTCACAAATTAAGTTTGTTTGGCAAAAGCAGGACAGCAATTCACAGACATGTAAAAGCACATATACAGCACAAACACAGAGCTTTAGATGAGTACATTTGAAGAACTATAAAGAGTGCACAGATCCCAGATTATAGAGGTCACTGATCAAATTCTCATTTAAGAACTATAGGATGGCGCTAATGTGTCATGTCATGGCTTTTCCAGTTCTTTCCAATCCCAGCAGACACAGGGAGACTGGAGTGAAATGGAGGGGGGCACTTACCCGCCACATAGACTAGGAGGGAAAAAAGGAAGACCAGGACAGTTTCCATGGCAACTGCAATGGGGCGAGAGAGAGAAAGAGAGTGAGAAAGATATAGTAAATAGAGTGAGAATCAGTGTTAGTGGGTTACGTGCTTACCACGTACAGAAAGACTAGAAAGTTCTCACAAGCTCACATTATTTATAATCACGATTATGCTCTGTCCTTGACTGGCATGTTGTCGTTGTACCTATGCAATATTGAAAGAGCACAGTCAGAAAGTCTGACAACAGGTTGAATTTAGACTCCCTGTAGACTCATAAATCACAAATACACATCTTGTGGTTTTTGAAAACTGTTCTCTGCTTTTTTTTTCTGCCATTTTATGAAATGTCTGGGTTAAAGTTGTCATACAACATCCAGGATTGGCTGGTATGTCCAAAATATTTATCACATTTTGAGTAATTATATTATATTTCACAATATAAACACAGACACTGTCATTCAAAAGTTTGTGACCTGCATTATTTATTTATTTATTAATTTAGTTAGTTAGTTAGTTAGTCTCTTATGCTCACCAAATTTGCATTAATCAAAAAATACAGTAAAACAGTAATATTGTGTAATATTATGACAATTAAAAAAACTGTTGTCTGGTTTCATATATTTTTATTATATAATTTATTTATTATATAATTTAAATAATTTATTATTTAATATATTTTAATTTTGAATTTATTTGTCATGCAAATCTGAATTTTCAGCAGCCATTATTTCAGACTTCAGTGTCACATGATTTGTCAGAAATCATTGTAATATGATGATATGCTGCTCAAGAAACATTTCAAA